TTTTTTTCACACGTTTGTATGCTAATTTTTATTCTTTCCAATATTATCTGAGAATCGGTTCAAAACAGTGTGCTGAATGCGCTACAGCTATCAACAAATCAATAGCTGTGACTATTAGAAGAAATTTATTAAATATTTAATGTAAAATTCTCTTTATGAAAACAACATTTTAAGCCTTTTCCACCTTAAACACGGCTTGCTGCTCCCGTGGGTTGAACATGGTATAAAATAGTGTGATAGAGTGATAAAGCACTATGAGAGGGCGACATTATTAAATTCTTCAGGCCGCCCCAGCTGTCCGGATCGCGCTCACAATCTAACAATTCCTCTGATTTATAGCGTTGTAAGAAAAATGTCTCGCCGCCATCAAGAGCAACAAACCTGTTACTGGGAAAACATACTGGTCCCAAACTGGTATAAATTCAAATGTAAGTAATAAAATCTATTTTTGTGGTACTTTATTTATTTATTTGCAGATAAAAAGATAAATTTCAACATACAATGGACATTCTTTGTGTTTTTTTTTTTTTTTTTAGAATTGGTCAGGCAGTTGATTATTTTATTATAGGAATAAGACTTACATTAACCATGCTGGCGTATTATATAAATACCTCTCTGTGACAAAAAAATAAATAAAAATTGTTGACTATACTCCATTGTTTTATGGAGCTTACTCCTAATTTCTTTGAACTAATAAATTAAAAACATTGTCCTTTGAGTTTCTTTTTTGCATCCATTTTGTAGCTCTGTGGCTTTTATAGCCGCCCCCGGCCCTGACGACATGATGGTCACAAGGCACAATTTCTGCAGAAAAAAAAAACAAAAAAAAAAACACATTCTCGTACTCTTATTTTCTCATCAGCAAGCTATATTTATGTTCACCCCTCAGAAAAATTCCCACTCTCTTGAATCAATCCCAGAAAGAGCACTTGTGACCGAGAGTTGCTCTTGACATATAAAAGTTGAGCAACTTGCCAACAGATAACGTCCAAATTAAAGGGATGAGAGAGTTTGGTGAAGGCTTGTGCGATCTGTGCTGTCACCTGTGTGCTGTAAGCCACGTTTAAGCAGGAAAATTGTCACATGGACGTTAATGAAGAGCATCAAATTAGTCACGAATGTGAACCTGGTTTGATCAAAGTAGACTATTTACACACACTCTACAATTACTGGAGCTCAAGGTGAAAAAGGAAAACGGCAAAACGGCTTAAAATAAACGAGTCTTCTTTCATTTTCTCAACGTCCTTCATAGGATAAACTTGAAACCTCGCGCTGCACAGCTTGTACCAATTCCAGTTGTTTTAAACTTTATAAATCTTGTTTTGGGGCTGGAAGATAGGGAAGCTGATGGCACCATTACCTTAAAATCCCGCTCTTTCTGCATGCAGTGGGTTTCTCACTGGGTAGTCCAAAACGACGACTAGTAGGTTAGTTAGCCTCTCTTAAATTAGGTATGCATGTGTGCCCTGTAAAATATCCGAGCCGCATTTAGTTGTGTCTACTGTCTTCTATTCTTTAAGTCAAATAAATTTAGTGAGTTTTAGATTTTGAACCTAAATGTGTGAGTTTTTGAAAGATAATTGTGTTAACTTTTTATTAATCCTATCAAACCCCCCAGAGCTGAATAAACCAGAGTTTTTAGGTCAGCTCTTAAAAACACTGAAAAAAGAAAAAGACTGGAGTGGGAACTATTTCCCAGTGTGCTTAGCAGCATGTTTTTGTGTCCTGTGTTGCACCGTGTGTGAGACGGAAATGTGTTACATTGATCTGACTCTTGTGTGTTATTAAGGCAACTGTTTATTTCAATGCAACTTGAGGATAATGTGCTGTTGACAGTAAATGTTTTTGAACAGAATCCATTGTGATGTTTAATACAATCCATTGTCAGATCAGAAATCTTAACATTTTAAAGTATTTAAAGTAAAATAAGTAGTTATTTTTCATTTAATAATGTGAGTGAAAATAATAAAGAAGTGTGTGCTCTTTATCAAGATCAAGGCAGTTTCCTTTTCTTGCACATAATTATTTGGTTTAAATTGCAGCGTTACTTTAATTAAAAGTCACAATTCAAGAATAATTAATTTAAAAAACAATGTTTAGACAAGTTGTGTCTTTTAGTTAAATCAACTTCACGAACTTTAATTTCTGAGTTGAAACCATGACAAATGTCTTGCTGACTTTGCATTTTCAAGGCAGCAGGTGGACTTTCATTTTCAAGTTAAACCACCTTCAAATGTTTTATCATGTGTGTGTGTGTGTGTGTGTGTGTGTGTGTGTGTGTGTGTGTGTGTGTGTATCTTTCCCATGTCAAAGAGTAGCTAAGAGAAACATGCCTCTGTCACACACAATGTCCGTCTTCCAGGGAAGAAGGATGCAATACATAAAAACAATGATTCCTCAATATTATTTCCTTCCACTGAGTGAATGTGCGCATATTGAAAGCTGGATTTATTTATTGTTTTTATTTCCAGTGTAAGATTAAGTTACTGCAAATTTCCACATTTAGTCCTTCTTCTTCTCATGCAGAGGTTTGTAGACGTTCTAAATAAACTCTAATTTATGTCTTGTGAGGTTTAGAAAGAGCGTGGTCTGTGAACAGGCAGACCCGTTGGGTCAGCGAGAGTTTATACACTAATTAGAGCGGAATCCTGTCATCCCACCACACAGAGGCCAAGTTCATTCAGGAGTAATTTAATTGCATACTTCATGCCCAAAGTTTTCTTGCTCCAATGGCTACATTGTACGCAGAGGACCCCCTCGCCACCACCTTTTATACGACGACCTTGGAGGTTGCAAACTGTTTTTATGCATAATTACAGTGAAACAGGAACACTTAGACAAAAATCACCCAAGAAACACATTCACTACACCATAGAAATTTGCATAAGTTGTTTTTATTCATAGTTATCGTCCTTTTATATTTCTTATCTCGTTTTTTTGTTTAATTTTTTTTTGTTTGTTTTTTTTTAGATTTTTGTTGAAGTGGACATCCTGTAAAGCCAAGCTCGAAGCCCTTGGCTGAGTTGTTCTCTGAGCTGAAAAGATAGAGGGAAGAGTGGGGAGGCATCTTCCTCTTCTGTCTCTCGCTCTCTCTTTATGTCACGGACAGTATCCCAACTCAACCTTTATTTTCACTTGTTTGAACAAAGAGTGTACCTTACAGTATATTTACATCATAGCGACTGACAATTTCCACTTAGATAACGTAAGGAAGATTGAACTTTCAAGATTTCTTTTATGATTTAAATTCTTGTTCTTCTTTGATCCACTTTGTCCTCACATAATGACCTTAAAGAGAGTGTTTTCTTGTCATTACATCATTGTAATCTTCTTGGTCATCAACATAACATTTTTATATTCATATATCTCTTTTTCAATAGATTCCTCTCTGAGAACTGTACAATCGTACACAGTGTTTGACTTTTATATATATTTTTTGGGAATATATTATTTAAACCCGAGGAAAAAAAAGAAACATAATCCCAAAGAAAATACATATTAGTATCCCAAAGTAACAAAATCATGCATGTTTTAATGTATTTCCCATAAAAACAAAATGAAAAAAAAGAAAAGAAAAAGAAAAGTATGGGATCTGGTTTTATTTACAAACTGATCTTGGCACGGTTTTTGTTGTCTCTTGCTGGACTCTTGGAATGGTCATAAACACGATTTTTACTTTTCTGAGTGGGACATACCTCAGGAATTTTAAGTCAGTGACCTGCGATAAAGAGCAAGTATGAAAGACTTTTTTTTATTTTTAAAGCACATAAATATTGAAGAAAGATGAGGGAGGAAAAAGAAGGACATAAGAGGGTCAAGCAGAGGAAAGAACAGAAATAAGGTGCCTTGCAAAATGTGTTTTTACCTCCTGCGTTTCACTTTTTTTTTTCCACTTACAGCCACAGTTGTGTGTTTTATTAGGATTTTGTTTGACAAAACAAGACAAAGTAGTGCCCAATAATGTTGGTGGTTCTCAAATTTTACAAACCGACTTCTGAAAAGTGTGACTTGGATTCATATTCACCCTATTTACTCTGATGCCACTAAATAAAATTGCTAAAGTAATTTAACTTATTAGGCCATTAGAACCAGTTTCAGTGATGTGTAATTCACAGTGTTCTGCTAACATGTCCTACTTTAACTTACATATAAAATGTTTAATATTTTAGGACCAGCTGACTATGTGAGAATGAAATGTCAATGGCTGTCTGATAATTATTAGCTGAACTGATTAGTAGAATAAGAAATCTCTGACTAATGGGATTAAATTAAACAATTGTGTATTGCATTCATTACTTGAATGACTTCTTATCTTACTCTATTTAACTTGGAGGTATCCAAGATAGTGGGGCTGAACACATAAAGTTGAAAACCAAGCATCAATTTTCTCAATTATGCACTGCTCTGTGCTGATCCGTCACTCAAAAACATAATGACATACATTTGAAGTTTGTGGTTGCAATGTGACAAAAAAAAAGTTGAAAAGTTCAAGAGGCAGCTGAACTTTTGCAAGGCACTGCTGTGTGCTGAAAACAAGTTTCACCTATTTTATTTTTTGTTTTTGTTTTAGGTCGTGGCAGTTTCCTTTTTGACAGCAATCCTGTGACATCATATCAGCTGACTTTTGTTCCCCTTCAGAAACGCAGATCAAAGGGGAACGCCTCATCAGGTACACTCGCTGTATCCTATATGTGAAGACTGCCCCCCTCCCACAGCCCCCCACCCAAAGAAACAGCATTGATTTGTCAAGATTATATATCATAACGCAGCATTAATTGACTCAGGCAAATAATAGAAAGGGGGAAAAGAAACTGCCAGTACACACTTTGGATCTCACCCTTAGGTTTGACAAGAGTAGTCTTGAATTTTCCAGTGTCACTCTGTCAAAGGAGAGTTGACCCAAATACCTTGTGTGTGAACAAACCATAAAGATGTTTGTGTGTGTTTATGTGTGGTGTCTCTGCATACTTAAATTCAGTGCAAACACATAGGGTAAAAACTCCCACCTCAACCACGGCCCGGCAGCTCTGTTGACTCAACAGCATTGTCCAACCCGACCGACTTAACACAGATTTTTATCTCCAGTTCTCTCCTGCAAAATCCTCGAAAGCAGACAGACTAACACATTGCCCTCCGGTGGGGGGGGGGGCAAACTGCTTCTGAGCTGCCTGCATTTCTCCCGCTGCAAAAACCCACCTGAACCCACCTCCCATCCAGTGTCAGGTCCTAGCATAGCCCAATATACTTGAGATTGTTCTGGATGATCACGTCCGTGACGGCATCGAACACAAACTGGATGTTGCTGGTGTCGGTGGCACAGGTGAAGTGCGAATAGATCTCCTTGGTCTCCTTGTTGCGGTTGAGGTCCTCGAACTGCCGCTGCACGTAGACGGCCGCCTCTTCGTAGGTGTTCTGGCCTTTGTAGTCTGGGAAGCACACTGTCAAGGGAATGCGTTTAATCTTCTCAGCCAGCAAGTCCTTCTTGTTGAGGAAGAGAATGAGCGATGTGTTGGTGAACCAGTTGTTGTTGCAGATGGAGTCGAACAGACGCAAGCTCTCGGCCATGCGGCTCTGTGTGGGCACAGAAACACGAAACCTTAAGAACAAGGAAAAGGTAAGTTTCATAGCTAAATAAAGTTTTTGTTCTAATCGACACAGTTTGTAATCTTCAGTGGGTTTTGACAAAATCAGACACAAAAGGCTTCAACAGAGTGTCGGGATGAAAACAAAAAGAAAACACCCTCGCACGTCAGAGACATCTGCTTGACCAACCAAATGTACAAATCGCCTGTTGTGTCAACAGAGATTTAAGACCAAGATAAACCAAGGCCTCAGGTTGAACTCTCATTCTCTCCTGTGAAACAGTCAATTACATCTTTAAGCACATTCTGCATGTCAGGTATTGTGAAATGATCAGCTAAAGAGGACGTGTTATTTAATATTTTCACAGCTGATGCTGTGAAGCAGATAACCTGAATGGACTGTGTGAACAGAAGATAAAAAGAGAAAGGTTCACCTTCATAGAGCCTATGTGCAGTTTTATTTTTGTAAAAATAAGTTTGAATGTACATGTTCATGACACCTGCAAATATTACTTAGGACCTTTAAAATTAACAACAGTGTTTTGTTGTTTTTTTTATCTGAGGAACTTTAAGTGACCACAGTTCAATGCTGCATTAGTAAGCAACTTTGTTTTAGAACAAACTAAAAATTACATTGAAAGTTATTGAATTAACTTTTGCTTTCAGTCTAAACAGCATAAAATGTGGTTGAGCCTATAAGTTAAAAAGTAAAACTTGCTTTTTTTTTCTGGGCTACATAAGGACTAGGTTCAGTCATTCTCAAATGGTTGTAAAAAAAATACCTGATATCAAGAGTAGGATGCTTTTTACCTTTACCTTAAATCTTTAATCCAACATATTAAGCATATTAAGCAACGTTTTATTCCTGCTATGAATTCTCTCGGTGAAAAATATAAAAGTGCACAAAATAAAAAGGAAGAAAACACTTCAGATTTTTTTTTGCCGTTCTTTGATTTTCGTTTGGACCTTTATGTGAATTACTGATATAACACAAGTTCTAACTTTACATTATTTCTATTTGGGTTTTTGCAGCCAAGCAGCTCCAGGCATTAACGACGCACAGCTATAAACTATTACAAATATGAAATTAGTAGTTTGTTTTGTTGCAGCCAAAGAGATAGCTAAGTATATCATTTTGTATTTTAAAAGCATCTCATTCTGCTATTCTACATATTTGTGGAGGATCACAATGCAGGGAGAAAAGCATCGCCAAAAGGAGTTACATGTAGAAAAATAGCTAAGATGGCCTATCAACTTGGATGTGTGATTGTGATGAAGTATAATTTCCTGCACAAAAGGTTTTAATTGGTCCTTTCCCAGTCAACAAGCCAAATTCATCTCCATTTTCAGATCCTGTGCAGCTCTTCCCCTTTTGTGATTTGATTGGCAGTAGACCGCAATCGTTGATTGGCCAGTGGATCTACGTCACTGGACGAGCGAGGACGGTCGTTACAGACTCCTCAAACAACAACATTTTAACCACCGTCATCAGTCCGCAAGATGGCAAGCTGCAAGCTGCAAACTGAAAATTCCACGGTCAGATCTTGAGGTCAAAATCTTTTTATCAATTGTGGCAGAAGAGTTCACACCGCATCAGCTGGACAGAGCAACCCACAAAGGGGAAAAATATCAAGAGATTTCTGAGAAACTGGCTGAACAACATGTGCAAAGTGACATCACTGGTGCATCAACCACCTCCTGAACACACACTTTCCCACATATAGAGAGGAGCACTCTGCCAATGGAGACACACCCAACTTGACTGGAACCCCTTAAGTTTTCTTTATACTCTGTGTTTGCTATGTGAGCTATTAGCTATAAACAACTTTGACACATTTCCATGTCTCTCTCATTTGATTCAATAAGCAACCAAATAGTTTGCAGAGGCAAACAGATTCCCACGTCTATCGTGGAGTATTTTAACCCTACGATCTGTCGGTTGTGTGGGAGCATGCACACATGCACGCCTTGGGGAGAATCTGTGCATCCTGCACTCATGTGATGTTGAATGTATAAGGGAAAACAGAAGAATAGAAAGTTGATCTGTTCATGGCAGCTGCTGGCATGTGGCGACTAGCCAGCAGCTTGTGACTGGGAAGATGTCAGATGGAGGACTGCTGTTTTGAAAGGTTACAGAAACAACATGCTCTAAGCAAATCACAAGATCTGCACTGCTTGGAAAAAAAAAAGTGGAAAGAAAGAGAGATGCTGATTATTCAATGGCGTAAGCGCAATATTTTTGGACTGAAGGATTCAATTTTGAGAAAACAGGTGAGCGAAACCTTTACATATGTATCAGAAAACTAAATTACAGAAGACACTGAAGGCTGAGAAGACAAATGTAATGACAACACAGCTTTATAATGAATTCTCTGAGGTTTGCATACATCTCACCTGCTACAGAAGTCTTAACTCCTGTTGCATAAATCCAGATTTTTTTAGCCTTAGAGGCTAACAGCTAATGTGATACTGTATATCCCAATACAAAGTGGACATCTATGACTTTCAAACAACACTAGTCTCAAGATGTAACTGTGGTTTACGCAAATGATTTTCTGAAACCTTAAAACATTTAAAATAGATAAAAAGATTGAATCTAGATTGCATACTTTTGCTCACACTGATCACTCAAAATGCTTCCAAGCTAAATTCTTATTCACTAAGCTGCACGTACTATAAATGTCATCTGAAAACTCTAAATATTTGCTTGCCTGTCTCTTTGTTTCTGATGTTGAATCTGGTTCATGTCTACTGAGCAACATGCTGGTAGAATGCTGTCAGGAAAGAAAGTTGATGTTTATTACACCGGTAGGATCTTCAACCCAAATACCCAACGATCAGTTGCTCCTTGTTGTTATTAACATCTCAGGTTCTTGCAGTCCACAACGAATATTTTAAAGGCTAGGACATAAAACTTCATATTCTCCGTCTTCCTGTAGTAGATTTGCTTTTGCACCTATTCACAAATATATTTTCCCCATGTAAGGAAAATTTTGAATAACTTGAAATCTTCTAGGACATTTTAGGTCGTTTTAGTTCTTCTTTCAAAACTGTGGAAACTGCGGACTGGGCCCTAAACATTGTGTACAGCACAAAATGCTGTCGGGCTGCTTGACCTCGCTCTTCCTCTTTCCTGGGTGTCAAAACATGACTGCAACTGCTTTGGGACTACAGCAGGAGACAGCCAGCTGAGCCCAGGGAGGCTCTCGTCTCTTCTGCTGGCCACTTCACACTTGTGCTGAAAGATTTCTTAATGGGGAGTGCAAGGAAAAGGTTAGCTGGGGGAAGGCAGGAGCTCTAATGCATGCAGCTCCTCCTTTCTTTGTTTCAAACACCAACAACTGATGCAGACTGGCTCATGTACAAAAGCACAGGCAAACGCAGTGGATTAAATTAGGTCTAAGTATTAATGAGGAGGTCCACCACAATGTCCCTGCTTTGTTTCCATAAATGAAAAAAAAAAAAAAAGTTTAAACGTGTGGCCACACCAGCATGATTCATCAAGGTTCATTTTCACAGCGCCTTATGAGGCCAGGCCTCTTTGCATTTAGCAGCAAACTCGTTGTACCTGAGAGCTGCATTATTTAGGATTTGCCATCTTTCTTCTGCCCCTTTTTTTAAATTAGTAATGTCTCAACATGCGGCAGCCACACTGCAGAACCCAGAGATGAAATCACACGAAATTTTAAATCAGAATTATTTTCGAAGTATTTTTTATTTTTTTTTATAAAATCTAATCTTTTTGTCTGACATTTGCATGTTTACGGTTCCGCTGAGACTTACAGACAATAATCCTCTGAGCCGTGCATGTGCCTTACCTTGATTTGGGATTGCATAAGAGGAAGGTCATGACATCTCCTCTAAAGGACAAACTAATAAAAGATTATGGAGGATGACAGACAAAATGTACCGAGATAGCTTTGTAGGTGAAAGCAATGACATGAAACCTGTAATGCTGTTTTTTTTTTTTTTTTCTTTTCTGGGGGGGGGGGGGCGGCCCGGTTTGTCTCCTGTAACTGAACAAAGCCATTTTTTATTAATC